CACTGCAGGCCACAGTTCCCATCTCTCCATATCTGTCTTCGTGATGACTGGAGCAATGATTTCCAAACCCTAACTTATGTGCTGATTGACCCTAGCAGTACAAGGACGTGTGTCTGTCCTATGACACACGAACTGGAAAGTGCAGGATGCTGGGCAGTTGTCCAGCAGCTTGGGTTCTGGTGAAGCGGCGTGGAGGAGAAGGCTGGCAGCGTGAGTCTGGCCACATCCAGTCTGGGTATGGAGGTGGGAAACAAGGTTAGAACTTTTGGGTTTAGAGCTGAAAGGAATCTTGGGTATTGTCTAGCTCTGCCTTTCTTTCATAAAAATGTTTCTTAAGATTCTAGTCCCATAAGATGCTCAAAAGAAAAATCTCTAATCAATTATATTTGGGAAATACAGAAAATTACATTCCCCTGTAGAAATACATATTAGCAAATTAGACTTTAAAGCATTTAAAAAATACTAAGGTAAAGACATCTGTTACCAGGTATTTTCCAGATATAATTTGACCATGAACACTAATGACCATCCCACAGAACTAATGTTCTGGGGAATTCATTTTGAGGATCAGTGATCTAGTTTTATCTCCACATATCACAAGGAGGATTCTCAGAGCTGAGGACTTATTCAAGGAGAAAAACTGAGCTAAAGACCTGACCCCTCATTCTAATATACTTTATTAACCAACCCTTAACACTCTATAAATTAAAAAATATATGTAAGTATTATGCATGTGATAGAATTTAAAACTGTATATCTAATTACTATTTACTCATTAAGGCATTAAACCCATATACTTGAGAGAAGCATTTATTTTTTTAATTCTTAGTAAACCATAACTATACATTAATGCACTTATGGGGTACAATGTGCTGATTTGATATACAATGTGGAATGCTTACATCTAACTGAGTAACATAACTGTCTCCTTGCTTACTTATTTGTTGTGGCAAAAACATTCATACTCTGTTCTTAATAGTATAGAAATGTATCATTGCATTATGCACATTAGGTTGGATCCCCCTAAAACCCTCACTCCTCCCAGTGTCCCCCCTGAGAAAACTATTTATCAATAAAAAAAGATTTTTCAGAACTAACTTTCAGTCGAATAACAGCTCTCATTCTTGCATGGATTCTGAATACTTGAAATTATAGTTTAGAAACATTTATTTTTTTCTCTCAATTTATAATTTTAGCATTATATATAGTCCTATATGTACTGACTCATGATAAAATAATTAATAGTAATTGTTAAGGTTGGATGCAGTGGCTCACACCTGTAATCCTAGCACTCTGTGAGGCTGAAGTGGGGGGATTGCTCGGGAGCTTGAGACCAACCTAAGCAAGAGCGATACCCCTTCTCTACTAATAACAGAAAAATTAGCTGGGCACTGTGGCAGGTGCCTATAGTCCCAGCTTCTCAGGAGGCTGAGGCAAGAGGATCACTTGAGCCTAAGAGATTGAGGTTGCTGTGAGCTGTGACTGCCATAGTACTCAACACCATAGCACCAGAGTCTCAAAAACAGAAAAAGCCCCAAACCTAATAATTGTTACACCTAGTGTTCCACATACTGTGTGAAGGGCTTTTTATGTATTTTCTCAATTGATCCTAACAGTAGTTCTCTAAGTTAATCAGTATTATTCCTCCATTTAAAGTTGAATAGACTCAGAGGGTCGGAGATTGGCCAAAGTTACTGAGCTCATAGGTAATGGAGCTGAGTTTCAGACCTGAGTCTAGCTGACTCCAAAGCTCATAACTTTAACCACTGTGTTTTCATAATATTCAGGAAGTTATGTGGATTTGGAAGATTCCACACTGACATCTCAAAGCGTTCTAAGTCATCAACCCCCAGTCGGAAAGGCGAGTGATTCAACGGCTTAGGAATTCATACTGAGGAATGACAGTGTGTTGAGCAAGACTCCAGCCTGATGTTTATTCCACCGCCTTCTATAAATCATGAAGCCTTAAGAAAGAGGCAGGACTTTGTATAGTCAACTTTGAAGAAGACCACAGAGGCCAGAGTTGCCTCATCAAGTTAGGTCTGTGACTTACCACCTACTTCGTCACCACTCGTCCAGTTGAGTAAGACGGTCAGGCCATGAGAGAAGGCAAGATGGAGAATGTGGGACCCACATGCGCACCCACAGGCACGCTATCCTGGGCCTTCTCTTTTCTTTGTGACCTCTTCTGGAATGCTGTGGGAACACACTCAATTCCTGACGTTCCAAAGACCTGATGGAAAGATATTTGAACTAACTCTTGCTCAGAAACCATAAATTCAGATCGGCACAAACCCTGTATTGATTGGACTCGTAAATTTCATCATGTTTTGTTTTATTTATTCTAAGTGAAATTGCCTCAGAAGACTGGAGAGCCATCTTACTTTCCATGCGTAGAATTTATTAGCTATGAAAATAATTCATCAAGTTATAGGTAGAAACATGTGGTTAGCCTTCAAGGAAAACTAATACTGGAGTAATAAAATCTTTCATTTTCAGAGTACTTCATCACTCAAAAGCCATGGTCACATTCATTTCCTTCTTCTGGTCCTTAACAAGAACCTCTGAAAGCCGGCAGGGCTGCTGTTCATTCACTTCCTCATTCATCAACTGCTTGTTAAGTGCAGGCACTGGCAAGGCACTAACAAACAGGCAGGCCATTTTTTTTTACCCTCCTGAAGCTTGTATTCCACCAGGGCTGTCAGACAAACAATGAGTAGATAATGAGCAATTACACAAGGAAAAATTAATTAAAGAGTTCTAAGTGCTATTCGGATAATATAAATAGGTGGCTGTGAGGCGGATGACCTCAGCAGCTATTTTAGATGGAGTGGCCAACAAAGGCATCCCTGAGCAGGGGACATCTTAAACAAGATACCTAAGTGTTAAAAGCTATTTGTGCAAGGGCTGTGCAAAAACATTCTTCGTAGATGAGAAAACTGAGACTCAGAGATTCAGTGGATCAAAGATCATGTAGTTAGGTCGTGATGGACTTGGACTTCAACCTTAGTTTGTGAAACCACCTAAGACCAGGGCTATTTCCAGCCACCATTTGCTTTGACAGTGGACACGGAAAAGTCTGTAAATAATGCCTGACGTTTCTTTCATCCACCGTGAGAGCTAGGCAAATGGCAATTTTGATGATTTAGTATTTTTGTTGATTTTTAAATTACATCTAAATGAATGAGAAAATTGTATTTTAAATTTTTAAAAAAACATATAGTTGATCTTGATTCCTGCATGCACAGCTGCTAGTCAAAATGGATAGTTTTCTGGCCCAAAGAAATTTACAACAAGGGGCGGTGCCTGTGGCTCAAAGGAGTAGGGTGCCAGCCCCATATGCCTGAGGTGGCAGGTTCAAATCCAGCCCCAGCCAAAAACTGCAAAAAAAGAAAAAAAAGAAATTTATATCAAGATAAATGAAAGAATTCTCTTCTCTTCCTTCCCTTTCCTTCTCCCCATCTCTCTTTCTCATTCTTTTTTTCTCCCTCCCTTACATATTTATTTGATTATCTCATGATTCCAGGTACTAAAAAATATACTTACTATTGTACCTCATTTCTAGGGTTTCTGATTTCTAATTTCTTCTTCACCAGTAGCATCCTAGGTGACCCAAAATATTTGGGCCTCTCTTTCTTGGCAAATATTTCAACAAGATTATGACAGAAGCCCTTTTGGAGGAATAATGTCATTATGTTAGCCTCAAAAAGTAACCTTAGAGTTCATGGCTGCAAATGATTAAGGGGTCTGGCAAGAGAAGTGTTGACAGGAATGTCTTCCAGAATGAATTAAATGAAACCCATGAAGGGATATATATTTTTAAAAGAATATAATTCTTAGAAGCTCTTTCTGATTCTTTGTAGGAAGAGAGACAATTAATGTGTATACATTTCACAAAATCATTTGGTACTGAGACTTGAAACTGGGACAGATACAAAAATATCATGCTAAAAAAAAACCCCCAACTACATGATAGTTATAATGGGCCAAAAGTTGTTTAATTTATTTTTATTGATATATAATTCATAGACCATCCAAATAGCCATTTTACAGTGCATACATTGGTCATTTTTAGCATATTCACAAAATTGTACAATCATCACTGTGCCCTGATTCCGGAACACTGTTCTCTTGTGCAGAAGAAACCCCGTACCCACCAGCAATCATTCCATTTCCTCCTTTCCCCAGCCCCTGGAAACGGCTCATCTAATGGATTTGCCTATCTGGGCATTTCACGTAATGGACTTACACAACTTGTGGTCTCTTGTGTGTCCGGCACCTTTCACTGAGCATGGGTTTATCCATGTTGGAGCTGGGCGCAGGTCTTACTCCATCCCTTTTTATGGATGAATGATATTTCCTCATAATGATACATTGCATTTGGCCATTCATCCGTTCATGGCTTATTTCTGTATTTTGACTACTGAGAATAAAGCTGCTATGAGTATTTGCACACAATGTTTTGTGTGGACATATGGATTCATTTATCTTAGGTGTATACCTAAGAGTGGGATTGGTGGATCATATGGAAACTCTCTGCTTAACTTTTTGCAAAACTGCCAAACGGCTTTAGCACAGTAGCTGCACCGTTTTATACGCCCACTGATGAGGATTCTAAAATTTCCCCACATTCACATCAACACTTATTTCCTGTTTGTTTTTGTTAAGCATAGTCATTGAAGGTATGAAATAGTATCTCCCTGTGGTTTGATTTCATTTCTCTAGTGACGAATGATGCTGAGCATCTTTTCATGTGCTTCCTGGACGTTTGCGAATCTTCTTTGGAGAAACGTCTACTCAAGTCTTTTGCCCACTTTGTTTTGTTTTGTTTTCCATAGTCTGTGGTTCTGGGTAGAGTGCCCCAGGGTCATCATACCTCACAGCAACCTCAAACTCAAGGTTCGAGTGATCTTCTTGCCTCAGCCTCCTGAGTAGCTGGGTCTACAGGTGCCTGCCACAACATCAGGCTAATTTTTCATTCTTTTTTTCTTTTGTTGTTGTTCAATAAAGTTTTATTTTTCAAAATACATGGTTGATTGGACCCTGTTCATGCATCTTCACCAGCAGCTGGGGCATCTCCACCCTTGGTATTTCTGGTGTAAATTTCCTGAACTCTGTGCTTTGAAGCCAGTTTGATAAGTCCTTTACTAAGGAGCTCCTGAAGGGCTGCCCTGGCCAGGGAACCTCGAATCTTCAGTCTCTCAGAGACCACAGCTGGGGTGATAAGCTTATAGCTGGGAACTTCCTTCCAGAGTTTGTCATATGTAGCTTTGTCAAACGAGACTAGGTTGTTGAGCTTGTCCCGAACTTTGCCTTTGGACCACTTCTTCTTTTTGGCCTTGCCCCAGATTTGTTCACTGGGTCTTTGGTTTTCTCAGCTGAGTTTCTGGCACCTTTCTTCTTGTTGTCGTCTTCAGGAGGGACTGCAAAGCTCAGAGAGGAGCTGCCACTACCGCAGCCCAGCTAAGATGTCAGACCTATTTTTTCTATTTTTAGTAGAGACACAGTGTCATTCTTGCTCAGGTTGTTTTCGAACTCCTGACCTCAAGCAATCCCCCAACCTCAGACTCCCAGAGTGCTAGGATTACAGGTGAGAGCCACCATGCCTGGCCTCTTTTGCCCATTTTTAATTGAATTGTTTGTCTTCTTATTTTTCAGTTGTAGAAGTTCTTTGTATATTCTGGGTACGAGATACTTAGCAGATACATGTTTTGCAAATATCTTCCCTAATTCCATAGGTATTTAGTTCACTGTTACAGATCATATGTAATTGTAGATCTGAATAGTTAGTTAAGGGTAAGGTGACCAGATGTCCCGCTTTTTAACAATTTGTCCCATGTCCCACAGCATTTTTTAAAAGTCCTGATTTTTGGAAAGAATGCATAACAAGCTAGGGAACAGCAGGAGAATGGGATGGGAATATATGGTTTTTGGCTGCTGAAAAGGTTAATGTAACTCCATTTGGGAATGAAGAGGTTAATGTAACTCCATTTGGGAATGAGGAAGTTAATGTAACTTCATTTGGAAATGAAAAGGCTAATGTAAACTTCCTACTCCCCTCCTGGGCAAGGTATCAGAAGGAGATTGGCTCCCTCACTTCCTTCTAGGCAAGGACAATTAGCTCAGTAGGACCCAAACTGTCTGGAACAAACAAGTAGTGCCCCCCCCCCAAGGTGACCAGACTTCTCGTGCTTGGCGGGACAGTCCCGATTTTTAACAATTTGTCCTGCGTCCTGTGGCATTTTAAAAAAGCCCAATTTTTGGAAAGAATGCACAACAAGCTAGGGAACACGGGAGAACAGGAAGGGAATATACGGTTTTCAGCTGCCATGTGGCTGTTTCGCCAGGATATGCATTTTATATTATTTTTGTTAATTTTATAATGTTAAACTTTAATAATAACAACTAATTGTTGAGAACTGATTATCTAGAACTGCTTATCAAAGTTTGCATTGTTGTCAGGCCCCGCCCCCCCCCAGGCCCAGCCCCCCCTCAAATGGTGTCCAGCTTTACCAATGTTAAAATCTGGTGACCTTAGTTAAGGGTATCTTCATCATTTTTACCTGCACCTTACTCCTTCTTCCCTCTCTAACAATAACACTCTCCTGGCCGGGCGTGGTGGCTCACGCCTATTGTCCCAGTGCTGTGGGAGACCAAGGTGGGTTGATGGCTTGAGCTCAGCTGAGTTTGAGACTAGCAGAAGACAATAACACTCTCCTGTGCTCCATCTATAAGTTTTTAGCTACCCTCCTTCAGTCTTTCCTATCCCCCCATGACCAGGACAGGCGTGCAACCCTGTTAGGTCAGTAGAAACTAATTGTCAGAATTTTTCACACTGTTTGGAGGTTGAAGATCTTTTTTCTCTCTGTTGCCAAACCTGTGAGCATGCAACACCTGGGCTGATGTCTTCATATTCCCCTTGTGGCAAACCCCTTTGGCAGCTGGAGAGAATGGAGTTACCCATCGGAGAAGGAAAGCTGAGGTGGGGGCAGCGTGTGGCTATGTGAAGACCTCTGTTCCATTTGTCCCTAGCTTTGCCTTTGCCCTGGTGTTTTGTGTGTGCAAAAAAGCTTTCTTTTAGGCTTAACTGAATTGGAGGTAGATTTCTGTCCCTTGAAATTTAAGGCTTCCTGTCTAATGCAATTAGCACATGGCTTATCACAGACATTACCAGCAAGTCTTGTAATACTTTAGTATTATAAGGGTTTGCAATACTTAGTGTGGGGGAGGAAATTCAAGGGCAATATAACAACTGAATCAAATTTGGGAAAATATAGACTAACATGTTTTGGGAAACAGGATGAAAATGTTTGAGTTTATGGGAAAGAGACTTGTAGGGAAAAGAGTCATTCCAGAATAGTTGCAGTGAGTGGTGGATGGCAATGAATCACAGTGTATGAATGGGTGATACGAAATGACCAGGAGAATGGCCACGGAGGTGTGGGGTGGGAGACAGCTGAAGGTGTACGAGTCATGTGAGATTCTTAGAACTAGCTGACGGATGGGGATGTGGGGACAGGACAGACTTTTCTCCATTTCCCTCTGCATCATCTCTCTTTATTTTCCCCTAATCTTCTTCCATTCTCTCCAACCTTCTATTTGGGGGCACTGTAGACCACATAAATATTAGAAACTTCTGTAAGGGAGATTTGGAATTTTAGACAACTCCTCCTCCCCCTCAAAAATTCTTTTATAAATTACACAGATGGCAAGTTCTGCCTTGGTACTAGTTTCCATACTATGAATGGAGGGCCGTCTCTGACCTAAAGCTCCTTACAATGAACGGAAGGCCATCTCTGACCTAAAGCTCCATACTGCGAATAGAGGGCCATCTCTGACCTAAAGCTCCATACTGTGAATAGAGGACCGTCTCTGACCTAAAGCTCCATACTATGAACCGAGGGCCATCTCTGACCTAAAGCTCCATCCTGTGAACGGAGGGCCATCTCTGACCTAAAGCTCCATACTATGAACGGAGGGCCATCTCTGACCTAAAGCTCCATACT